AAATAGCCTCTAATATCACTGTGTACCACTGCAAGGCAGCATTATATTATAAACAAAAAAATCAGCTTCAAATTACAGTAGGAGCATGCAGTGAGAACTCGGCATCAAGGTTCTGAGAATTAAATGAAGCAAAAACCTCCAATTTCACCCATCCCTAATCCCCACCCATAAAACTGCACAGATATGGATAAACAAATCAGCAATGAAAGTCTCCATTAAACCTTCACATTCTATTCTTGACTGAGGCTGATTAGGGCATACAGCTTGTAAATTAATACAAACTTAGGGAGCTACATGGTAAAATTCTATTACCACAAAGCACCTCAATTTGTCTCTGTGTACCTCTATTTCCATTCCTTTTTTCTGAAATATTTGTCCACCACAGTGTTTTGCGAGAGAGATCCTCTGACATTAACAAGGTGATGCTGGATGCAGAAAAGCACTCTGTGGTAGAATTATTAAGCAGGTCAATAGCCAAAGTCAACCATCGCATCCAACCTTATGGTCATTGTGGTGCACAGTTATACCCAATGAAATGAAAATGTGCATGGAGGCAAATTTTTCTGTACACTCTTTCCAGCTCTGCAGTTGTGGGATACTTGCATGAGCTGAAATATGCCCCTTCTGTGAACACAACTTGACAAGCCCATCAGTGCATCATATAAAAACAGCAGAGGTCACCACAAATGTCCATAACTAGTAAAAGAGCAGCCTGCAGCCCCAGCTTTAATGTGTTTACAAATCCCTTTGGTTTTGGTCCCTTTGGGTCTGCTAATTAAATAATTTTGTTATATCTGCTTTTTGAATAATTGTTGTGCAGTACAGTTAGTGAGTCTAGCCACGCTAGAAAGGAAGTGTGTTACTAGCAGGGTCACCAGGTGAAAATAAAGGGAAAAAGTCTAAAAAAATATAAAAATACATCTACCACATCTACGTACTAGTAAGCTGCAATATATTACATTTTTTTCTTGGGTTTTGATATGTGTACAGAGATGAGCTAATAAATATCACAATCACGAGAACCCAGCACCTTCACCAAATCCAGGACCAGATTTCCATCACTGGGGACAGTTTTTCTTGGTTTACTTGTCCTATATTGGCTTAAAATATTGGGGGGAGGGGGGGGGTATTTACTAAAACTGCAGTGCACAGAATCTGGAGCAGGTGTACACAGTAACCAATCAGCTTGTAACAGCTTGTTCAATTAAGCTTTGACGTTGACGTTGATTTGTTCCTCTTTAGTTCCATTATAACTGTAAATGAAGGCAAAACACCAGATAGGATGATTACCTCATACTAGCAACTTCTTTGTTTTGTACTGAAAAATGTATCGCAATGAATAATTTATAAAGTTACTGTACACTGGGATAAAGAGGAGGTTACCTTGAAAGTCCATGGTCCATATTGAAGAACTCTCTAATCTTGAAACACACACACACTCTCACATACACCAAGCAGGCGATGTAGAATGAAGTGAGACTAATGCTGTCACCATTCACAAAGAGATAAAGATTTGATTGTCAAGCTGTCCCCCCTTCTGCCAGTCACAGTCAGGGAAGAATATTCACATGTTATGCTCCTAATTATGCACATATTCTCCAAATCTCACTTGATGAGTGAATCAGCTACTTGCAATGTTACCATTAAATGAGGCTTATGTTTAGCAATACAAATATTAACATATGCAAATGTCCCCATCTGCAACAGCTTGATCAATCACGCAAAATACTCTGTAACAGATATTTCTATACAGAAATCTTAGCAGAATGTTTATAATCTTTATGGATAGTAAATCAGGGAGAGCTGTAGTTTAAAAAAATAAGGCACGTTTGTTTCAGTGATGGCGCCGCCATTTTTGGCTTTTGGTAAAAAAAAAAAAAAAAAAAAAAAAAAAAAGGAGTAGAAGTAATAAATGTCCCCTAACTGCCACTAACCTCTAGCTTATACCTGACAATAAAGCAGACCGCAACACTTAAAGTGCACCTGTGCCCATACTATGGACACACAGCGGTTGATTGACTAAAACTGGAGAATCTGGTGCAGCTCTGCATAGAAATAAATCAGCTTCCAGTTTTTTTTTTTTCAAAGCTTAATTGAACAAGCTAAAGTTAGAAGCTGATTGGCTACCATGCACAGCTCCACGCAGATTTTGCTCTCTGGTTTTAGTAAATTAACCCCAAACGCTCTATTCACACTTCACTATTTGGAATCGCATGCAGAATTGCTGATTCCGAATCGTGGCCAAACCAACAGGCGTTTAGGTGCCACTGTCCCTTAATGGCACCCCAAAAGTGACCTGATTCTGCCACGATTGTTGTGTGACAGTATGGAATAACCATTTTGGCAAACCACACCTTTAAAAGGTGCATGAAGCTTGTCACCTAAGGTGGAGCAGGAGCTTCTAAAGGTGCATAGGGCAGTCCATTCAATCGCATGCAAATCGCTCAAACAAAATTTCAAACGGGAACGCTTGTTCCTGCTATGTGAAAGTGTGAATGCAACCTTAAGATTTTTTGTTTACATTTTTAGCAATCACTAAAAGAGATTTAAAATGACACTGTCATCTTGCTAATGTATGCAAATACTTTAAAGTGCATACTTTTAAATGCAGGACTCACCTAAGGCTCTGTTCTTAGGCCCCTTCTTTTCTCTATGTACACCTCCTCTTTTGGTCACTTAATAACCTCCTACTGCTTCCAATACATCCCTATGCTGATGACACCCAAATACCTCTCTGTTCCTTACCTCACTCCTTCAGCATTCAGCCTCCTCTAAATCCTTCTAAAACTGTCCTCAGAATATTGCCCCCTGTTGATGCCCTCCACCTTGACTTTTCCATCTATGTCAATAATACAACTTATGCAGGCCATAGACGGGTCGTTTATTGGATGAATTTTCATCCGCACGAAAAATCGGCCGATAATCACGCCGTTAGTGGGGCCAGCCCGTTGGCCGTTTTTCGCGTATCTTCTCATTTATTTTTATCAGTCATGTTGGAAAATCGAGGAAAAACGTTAGTTTTTCGTGGACATTGGTGGCAGCATCGGCCAATAAACAACCCGTCTATGGCCTGCCTATCAGTCCCTTCCCTCATGCCAGGGTACTAGGTGTAATACTAGACTCTGACCTGCCCTTTCAGCCCCAAATCCAATCACTGTCAAAAGCTTGTGGACTTCACCTCTGTAACATCTCTAAAATGTGCCCCTTTTTAACCAATTAAACCAACGAGCTACTCATTCACTTCCTTCTTATCTCTGACTTTGACTATGCAACTCGCTTCTCATAGGCCTATCTCTACACATGCTTTCCTTCCTTCAGTCCATCATGGATGCTGCTGCCTGACCCATCCACTTTACCAACAGTTCAGTGTCTGCCACTCCACTCTTTCAATCCCTCCACTGGCTTCCCGTTGCCCAATGAATACAATTCAAAACATTAAAAATAACATACAATGCCTTTTTCAACTTTGCACTAAGTTACATTACCAATCTTATCTCAAAATATCATCCAAACCATCCTCTTCGCTCCTCCCAAGACCACCTGCTTTCTAGTTCCCTTGGCTGTTGCTCCAATGCTCACCTCCAGGACTTCTCCAGAACCTCTTCAATTCTCTGGAACTTTCTACCTCAATCTGTCCAGCTATGTCCTACTATTTCCTTTGGCTCCTCTTCCTATGCTCACCTCCTGGATTTCTCCAGAGCTTTTCCCACCCTCTGGAACTCTCTACCTCAATCTGTCCAGCTATGTCCTACTCTGACCACTTTTAGGCAATCCCTTTAAACTCATCTTATCAGGGAATCCTATCTTGCCTCCACTTAACAACTTAACTTTTAATTCTTCCATCCCTCCAAGTTATTACCTTTTGTACTCCTTGCCCCATCCTATTAGATTGTACACTCTTATGAGCAGCCCCCAACACCCCCCCCCCACACTGATGAAAACAAACCTTAGTGACGATTCTCTTAATAATTCTCTCTAAATAAGCTTATAGTAACATAGCTGTATTTGGAATGGGGATTAACTGAGTACATTTGTATTCAACAGAAAACCTGCACGTTCACAAGAAAAACGCAGTGAAGACAGAGCCTAACTGCAAACAATAGTCTGATTGTAACACACAGCCTGATGCCGAAATCAGGAACCATAGCTGGCTGGCGCATAGATAACTCCTGGACCTGGCAAGACAGTTCTTTAGCACACAAATTAGTCTACAAGGAGTTCATTACTGTCCAGAGTGTAATATTTGGTGGGCTTGTGGCAGTGTTAGCTTCCTGGTTCCCGGGGTGTTTCCCTTCATGACCTTGGATTCTGTCATTGCCGATCTTTGCCTTGCACCCAGATTACTCTTGGTTTGCCACCTAAACTGGACCTCAGATTGTTCACTGACCTCGGATCTGTTTTTGGACTATGCTTGCCTGCTACCTACCTTGACCTTGTACTGTCCCAGAATTCATGTACCAGCCATTTTCTACTGCCTGACCAGACTCAGGACTACAGGTAACCATCTTTGTACCAGTTGCTTAGTCCCAGTGCCATCTGGCTTGAAACTATAACACTGTGGTCCAAGACCTGAGGACAACCAAGTACCATTAGGTCAGCTTTCCTTACGGGAAAAGGGGTTACTATATGCAGAAGAAACACCAACCAGCTATAGATACTGACCTAGGCACTGGGATCTGTGTTACACTAACTTACAGCAAACATAAATTTATATTTTATCCAGTATTGCCTCTGTGATCATGTCATTCCTCATCCATAATTTTAAATGTGTTTGAGCTGTAGTGAGTCCCTGTGAACCCCAATTGCACACACCACTGGTAATAATACAAAACAGGCATCCACCAATTCAGGGAAAAAGTTAAAAAGCTGGGGCAGTGGTGAAGGGTTAGAAAAAATTATGCTTTAGTTAACAGCTAGCCTGCTTTGCATATGACAACTTTCATAAAGTAATAATCACTGTATAACAGACAAAAAAACACTGTTAAAAAATGATATCTTACACTGCCATCACTGCACGGTTTCAGCTCCTTCCAGAAGGTCTGCATCTGTGTTAAGTCTATCTTGTTCAGAGGGATTGATACTTCTCCAATAGGATCATTGCGGCTGAATCGATCATAATCCAAAACTTGTAGATACAGGACTCTTTGTACCACTTTTTCATATGGAAATCCTACAAAATAAGAGAGGGATAGTGTTATATTAGGTTTCTGTTCCTGGGAGGAAAGTGATTGTGCTGTCAACAAAAGAAGTCTACAATTATATTTAGCTAGGCAATACAAAAGTGATCATGATGAGCAAATAGTCCACATCAACAAAACCTGTCTTTTTCTGAAATCAGATCCCTGAAATGTCATTTAAAATCCCCTGAACTTCCTGTTACCATTAAAAGTTTTTTTTGTTCTCTGTGTCCCAACTGCAAAATTTTTTCACCCAACTTCCTGTATGTTCAAGAAGTATGGGATAACCTTTCCAACAGGCATACAGACAGCAGTAAAAGCAAATTTGTTGAGGCAGAATCTTGTTGCAGCTTAAGTTGTTATGTTTTCAATAGACACCCGCTGAACAGTAGACTGGTGATCCATGAAAATGGTCATAGATTAAATATTATAGCTTCTTTTCTGTTTTTGTAAGTTCGTTCAATGCGCAAACTAAAAGCACATTTATAGCTAAAGTGTTAGAAACCCTGTCAAGATTTTTTATTTGTCTGCCCCTAGTGAAGTGATCCACCCCTTGCGTTCTGTGTGATTGCCAGGACAGAAAGTGAATGAAGATTCATCCACCTTGAACACGGACATGAACAAAAACCTGACAGAGGCTCTAGCTCTTCCCCAATCTATCAGAAACCAAACAAGTGTTGCCTGGAATAATGTTTGCACATTTGGAGAAATACTAGTGGGTTAAAACATCCACCATATCATCTCATTGTACCTCAGGGATTCTGGTGGTGAAGTATCTGTATTCCTAAATCTGACAGCATCACTGCAGAACAAAGAAAATCATGGTGTGTGGAATTAGGAGCCAGGAATTAAAACCAGCACACATCATCCTTGGAATCACTAACAGATAAATCATGCCAGTGAATGAGGCAACTCTCTATCATCCACCCATAATTTTTTTTTTTCAGAAGGAAAAAACATTTAAAGATAACCTTGTAAATAAATGCACAGAAAGGTGTATATTCAGCCTGACAAACAGAAACAACTCAGGGATGATTTAAAAAATAGTACTGTATATGATTACTTCTAACTGGCTATAAATCTCCCTTGTGAAAATAAGCACGTGATGGTGTTATCGACAATATCAGCCTGAATTTCTGTAATAACAGAAAAACGCTGGATCCCATAAAGAGGAATGTGATTATTGTGAACATACACAGTATACATAGCATATAGCCAATGTCATATTAGTGCTTTGTTTTACATTCACATTTGAAAGAATTCAGCTAAGCATATGCTCAGGTACCTGAAAAAGCAAATTGTCCTACACACATAAGGTGTTTAGACTTCAGTTATATTTGAAAAAATATATGTGATCAGTCATTTCAGACTGGTTACAGGCTGATAAAGTTGACAGCATTGTATTTTATTGGAAATTATGTATGAATGTCTAAACAAAAGGTGAAGAAAAATCAGACAAAATAAAGGAAATGTATATTTTGGAAGTTCCCTACGCAGATATTTCACAAATGACTTGCTAGGAATGGTGGCAGGCTATTACATCTACTGCAGATAAATTGAATGTGTCTAACCTGTGTATACAGAAGCATCTGCATCTCCTCAGCAGGTATAGGCAGAATTCAATGCAAGTGCCAGTGACAAATGGCTACATTGCTAGAACAGACACTTCAATCTATATTTAATTAGATACTTTCTAAACCTGGCTTTAACATTAGTAGACATCTTCCATTCATAAGGTTTGAGGCTGAGGAGGGACTTGATGAAGTGTAGAGTTGTGCTCAAAAGTTTGCATACCCTGGCAGAAATTGTGAACTTTTGGAATTGATATTGAAAACATGACTGATCATACCAAAAACCTGTTTTTCATTTGATAGTGATCATATGAAGCCATTTATCATCACATAGTTGTTTGGCTCTGTTTTAAATCATAATGATAACAGAAATCACCCAAATGCCCATGATCAAAAGTTTACATACCCTGGAATGTTTGGCCTTGGTACAGACACACAAGGTGACACACACGGGTTAAAATGGAAATTAAAGATTAATTTCCCACATCTGTGGCTTTTTCAAATTGCAATTAGTGTCTGTACAATAGTCAATGAGTTTGTTAGCTCTTACATGGATGCATTGAGCAAGGTTGATACTGAGCCACGGGGATCAGAAAAAAGCTGTCAAAAGAGCTGCGTAACAAGGTAGTGGAGCTTTATAAAGATGAGAAGGGATATAAAAAGATTTCCAAGCCTTGAATATGCCAGTACTGTTAAATCACTTATTAAGAAGTATAAAATTCAGGTATTTCTTGATACCAAGCCAGACGAAGAAAGATTGCAGCCACAACTGCCAGAAGAATTGTTTGGGATACAAAGAAAAACCCACAAGTAAAGACAGTGTGGTTGTTCTGAAGGAGCACAACGCAACAATACTCGAACAAAAATGAGCTGCATGGTCATATTGCTAGAAAGAATCTTTTGCTGCGTCAATGCCACAGTTGTCAAGCATATTGTAACTGAGCTTTTTTGTGGCATTGGCATAGCAAAGGCTTCTTTCTGTCAGCTTGACCATGCAGCTAATTTTTTGTTTAAGTATCAGCATATTGTGCTCCTTCAAAACAACCACACTGTCTTTTTCCAGAGCAACCTGTATTTTACCTGTGGGGTTTTTTTGTATCCCGAACAATTCTTCTGACAGTTGGCTTGGCTTAGTATCAAGAGATCCCCGAATTTTCCACTTCTTAATAAATGATTTAACAGTACTGACTGGCATATTCAAAGCTTTGTATATATTTAGATCCTTTTCTATCTATGTAAAGCTGCATTACCGTGTTACGCAGGTCTCTTGACAGTTCTTGTCTGATTCCCATGGCTCAGTATCTAGCCTGCTAAGTGTATCCATGTGAGAGCTAACAAACTCATTGACTATTTAGACACATACACTAACTGCAATTGAAAAAGCCACAGATGTGGGAAATTAACATTTATTTGCCATTTTAACCCGTGTGTGTCACCTTGTGTGTCTGTACCAAGGCCAAACATGCCAGGGCAAGTAAACGTTTGATCATGGCCATTTGGGTGATTTCTGTAATCATTATTATTTAAAAAGGAGCCAAACAACTATGTGATAATAAATGGCTTCATATGATCACTATCCTTAAATAAAAGACAGTTTTTTTTGGCATGATCAGTCATATTTGTAATATCAATACCAAAATCTCACAATTTCTGCCAGGCTATGCAAACTTTTGAGCACAACTGTATATCCTACTCCATGCCTCTGTGCATGATCTAAACCCTCACGATATCATCACACAGACACCATAACAAGTTAAATGATACACTGAAGTGGCAGGTAGTCCATTTGGCTCCCTAGATATACAAACCAGGTCCGAGCTAGGGCATCTGCTTACCAAAACTACATATCTCTTTAGATCACCACTTTGTAGCTAATGTCACTGATCTCTGAAATGTTATTAATGTAGGTACAGTATTTACTTTATATTTTTTTAAACAAAAGTTAAAGATGAATTCCAGGAATAGATATTTTATACATCCAACTACGACCAAAGTAACTATGCATATACCATACTTAGCCAAAGCCCCTTGAAGCTGGAAATTACTGAGTTAGACACCACTACTCCAGTGATCTCTATTTGCTTCTAGGTCCAATGCTGAGCGGCTTCCCAGCTACATTCTGAACACAGGAGGTTGGCCGCTCCAATCAGAGAATTCTTTGCATTTTCTGAATGAATGTAAAGCATTTTCTGATGGGATGGACTAGAGATCATGACATCACTGCACCACTCCTCCACCTCATCCAATCAATGAACATTTGCATACATTTAGAAAATACAAAATATTCTCTAGATGGTGCTCATGTCATGAGGTCAACCCCCTGTGTTCGGAATGGAGCAGGGCAGCTGCTCAGTGAGGGACCTGGAAACAAGTGGAAATCAATGGAGTAGCGTATCTACTTCTGTGGTTTGCTACTTCCAGGGGTATCAGCCAGGTATGGTATATGCATAGTTACTGTATATTGGTCCAAGCTGGCTCAATTTAACTATGTATAATATATCCATACCTGGGATTATTTTTTACCTAAATCAGCTTCATGTTAACATTTACAAATGTACATTTTAGAGTTTGTATGAGGCTTGTATTTGTTTTCAGCCAGTTTACATTTTTACGTATAGTATTAACTTGCATCTTCCTCTATGCAAAAAAGAGATTAAATGCTTTGGTTGAGGGGTACCAAACACAGTATCGGCACTTTTATAGAAATAATACTGATCTATTTCTAAGTTCTTAAGGTTCATCCGAGAAACAAAAAACAGATTTATGCAAACCTGTGTCTAAGCAAACTCATAACACTACCCTCCTATGATTCCCATCATATCAATGGGCCAATAAGGAGGTGCAGAAGGCAAAAGAGAGTGGGGCCCAGCCCACCAAGATTTCATAGCAACAATACCCCAGGTTTTAGGACAACCATGTGCTGCACAGCATAGGTGAGCACATATGCAGATACCTCCGGGTGCCTTCTTTGCATCATGCTGCAAAATTAACACTTTTAAGTTGACTACTGGATCAATTTAATTTGGCCACAGACACAGTTTTGTAGGCACAATCTGATCATTAATATTTTTTTGCATAAACTTTACCATACACATACACACATCTGTCTGATCTGTGAGTAAGTCTATTAATGTCAAAGGAGGCACATCATAACCAGACACATATTGTGCTGGGATTACTTTAGGAGGGAAAAACAGAGGGACTGCTTTTATACCTGAGACTGGTCAGCCAGGCGTGTCTGGGATTGCCTGCTGTTGTCCACAAGCAAGAGTGTGTTTACCTGATTTAGTTAAAATTGTCTGGCTCAAGTTCAACCATCTCATGTCTATGCGTTCCTCCATAGTTGAGGTTGCCTTGTCTATATGGCTGAAGACCTACAGCTGAAAAAATTACAGGCCTAAATAATTCACGATTAAGATTTTTCTGCATTGGCATTTATGCAGGGTGATGACCTAGCTAGTTGAACTGAAGCAATGAGATCATAGTTGTGACATGTCAACATTCTAGCTTAAATATAATTTCCAGACATATTCAGATCGATTGAGATCTATATTTTTTGTGAAGATATTATCAGATCTATATTTTTTGTGAAGTTCCATGAGAAGGCTATGAAAGCAAATATCATTCTGCATTGCTAAAAGGACCACCTTTAAGAAGGAATGTAGAGAGGCAAGAGTCCATTAATGTTTTTTCTATATGAACACTTCATACTTAACTACACCACAGAAAAGACCCAATATAAGGCTATAACAGCAAGGGCAGAGAGCCTTATCTATGCTCCCCTCCCCGTCTCACCCTCGAAGAGGAAGGTCTCGTTCCAATGTGGGTTGAGGTTTTTCCTCTTCACCTTGGTCTCCAGCTTGTGCTTCTTGTCAGGTAGCAGATATATCTTCACAAATGGATCACTGGTCCCACTGAAGTCCTTAGCTGGCAACTCCTGAGCTTTCATGATTTTAACAGTGAGAGTGGACTCCTGGAAGTTGTAGCCCACACTGAACTGAATGCGCCCAAGAGTCTCTCGCCCTGATGTGTCATGACCATCTTCTTCATCTGAACCAGGAGACAGCTGCCCAGAGAAAAAAAAAGAAACACAAATTATTGATGTTAATAACAGTTCAGTAAGTGCCAATCTTAAAAAGTACTGGTTGCTTTTGAGTAGATAACGCTGAAATGTTATGAAAAGCTTTTTTTTCAGAAAGAAGCTAAAATCATACTCCAAGTCCTATATAAAGGATAAGTAGACCTTTTAAAGTTGACCTCCAAACATATTAAAAACACTGATTAATGCAGTTATGTATTTCTAATTTTAATGTATATAAATGTAAATATAAGTATTTTATGGCAACCAATGTTAGCATCAAAAACTGTCTTGATATCAGCCTCCTATAAACCTCTGTATAACATTGTTCAGTGTGAAAGATGAAGGGTCAGCACCGGCTGTCAATCAGGTTCTGCAGCCTTGCAGATGTGCTGTCAGTGAACATTGTAAAAGAAGGAGAGCTAAGAGCAAGCAGTGATGCTGCTTCTTCATTGTCCAACCAACAAGCTGGGGGGTTGTCAGAATCCTATTGTAGTGCTGTAACTACAGAGGAGGTTTTAAACAAGCCACAGATGATTCAATTTTCTTTCCTGCAACCCATGATTGCAGGAAAGAAAATCACTTGATTCCCATGTCACCACAGTCAATGTTGATGGGGAAATCCCTCACATAGAGCTATTGTGCTCTGAGGGTGGGGAGCCTTCCTTGTTGGCAGAACACAATTATTATTGCTGCTGGTTATAGCTGCCGGCAGTAATCGCATGCAAAAAATCTGACAGGCTGGTTGTACTGAAGTCGATCGTTGGACAACCTTCAGTACAACCAGCCTGCCCAAAAATAGATTGAATCTCGGCTGGTCCCTGCTAAACTAGTCAAGATTTGATCCATCTGTGGCCGGCTTTAGACATAGCTGTACTCTCTGGCACAATGGTTGAAACACAAAACTCACTGTGGAGCACTAAAAATTCCTTGATAGCTGGACAGTACCTACAGTATACATACAATATATTTTAAGTGCACTCCATTAAAACAGAACTACCTTTCTAAATAAAATCCCATTTTTGTGTAGCACCCCACAGAGCTAGTGTTCTGTTAAATCTATGGAAATCCTCATTGAACAGTCAGCGCTTTGTGGGGTCCCAGCTACAGTCTGGCTGGGGGACCCCTGTTCTATTCTCCTGAAGCATGCTCTGAAAGCCACTCCAAGATCCAGGACATAGGCTGCAAGAGTACTAAAGTTGACTGACCCTGCACATGCCTGCCTGGAATCAGAAAACAGCGAGTAACAGCCTTTAGGATCTTGTGACTTTCCTTAGCACTCCTGGGAGAATATTAGCTACTACTATCCATTTGGGACTGCATTCCTGTTTTGAGATTTGTGTTTGTTGCTGTTCAGTTTTACACTTCAAAGGGGGTGCCTTCAACCTGAAGTCTTAGTACAGAATTAGTCCTCTTTATTCAAGTTTACAGTTAGTGGAATATCCCTAGGTTCACCTTCACCCTATCCAAAAAATAGGACAAAAAAAAGAACTACACAGCCTGTTGACTCAAGTGTGTGGAAATGTTGTTTGCCTGGCTGTCGAGTGCCTATCAGGGAATGGAACCTGGGATCAAACTGCCAGACCAATCCATCTGTGCACTACATTTGAGGTGGATGGAAGTTGTAAAAAACTCTGGCTACCCAGACTGGACTGGCAATGCCAGAGAAAAGGGTCATTGAGTAGGCCAGGCCATGTAATCTATCAGTTCCACCCATCACCAAGCATGTGACTATGACTACAAAGTTGCTGGGAAGAGTGCAATCATGGAGTGCATTTAAAGGAGAACTTATCTTTTAGGTCCCACCCCTTTTTTGCATATACAGTATGCTACAATGGCACCATGGTAGTTAAGCTTTTGATTAGCGACATTTGACTGGCACTTATGTTCTGAGAAACTCTTGAGAAGAGAAGGATGTGAATAGAAAAAAAAAACTAAAGGAATGTACACTCCAATTCATGCTGAAGTCATTATTATTTTTCAGTATTCTCTCTCTTCCCACCAAATCAAATTCTTTTTAAATTTTGGAGTGAGTACAATTTTTTTCCAGTGTCACAATTGGGGAGATTTCCCTTTACTCTTTGTCCCATTGAAACAGCAAGAATTAAGAAATCTCTTCAAAGTGAGGGTATGTCTCCTCTTAGACAATTGTCACCACAAAGGGCTTCCCCATTGAAAGATTTCCCCTCACCTGTTGAATTGGTGACTGAAAACTACAAAACTTGTAATTCCCATTTTTTCTGCCCTGTTTCTGATTATCCCCAGAACCAATAGTGTGGCTAAATCTCCCCAATGTCAGTAACAAAAGCCTGCCAGATGGCCTAAACTTTCCACATTGTATAAAAAAAAAAAGTACGTTTTGGCTTTACATATATTTTAAAGGTAATCAAAATGCTGCACTTAGTACAACCGTAGCTATGAACAGAAAAAGAGCAGTTCACTGTTGTGGTAGATGTTCCAAAATCAATAGCGAAACATGAATACTGCAGACACAAAGAATCTAAATCCACTGCGTAAGTGACAAATGCAAGTTAACTGTAACAGGTCTGCAGTTATAATGGCAATAAAAGGGTTACTATATAAGATAAGTGAGAATGGTATAAGCCGAAATGTCTTGCACCTTCTGCTAACGTCTAATACATGCTGGACATTTGCCAACAGCAAGGTGAGTTACACATCAAAAGGTGTTAATAAAAATGGATGCAAGTATATCACTTATTAAAGAAAATCCAAAAGAAGCCTCTTACAAAAAGGATAGTTTATGCAATTCCAAACATATTGCAGTTATCCTAATAGATTTTCATTTACACACAATAACAAACTGTTTTTGTTATACACCCTGTAAATTCTGCACAACTCTCTAGAGAATGGTAGAGCTATAGAAGAGGAGAAGGAAGAAAAAGGTGAAGGAAGATAAAGGTGAAGGAAGAAAAAACTTTTAATCAAAATCTGTTTCATTGCAACCTCTAACCTCAGTGAAAAATCCACACTGCAAAACAAGGAGAGTCAGGAAAGGAATGAGGAATTTATAAGTACTTTTCTGGGAAGTTACACTAGATTTAGAAAGGGAAGCCTTTTTAAAAAGCTATATCTAAACAGCACCTGTCATTTAAACATCATAAAACAGAATAGACATCTCCATGTCAGAAGATGAAAGCTATAGCATTGGAGCTCTATGCAAAAAGCTATATGTAGATAGCGGAACTTCACCCAAAACAGGATGTTCCCTTTGCCTGCTCACCCCCCCCCCCCTCCTATTTAAGTTTTGCCACTTCTTTTCTGACTTCTGATCCAAGAGAAGGTTTGGCCCCCCTCCTTCCCCCACAGCCTTCTGGGACACATCACAGGTCCCAGAAAGCTGCAGGACCATTCACAATGTGCAGCAGGAAGCCAGATGTGACACTGCAAGCATTCACAGCCTGCTTCCCAAAACATAGCCTGGATCCAAAGATGGCTGAAGAGCCTACTCAGGTGAGGGCAGTGCTGGATGCCTGGACAGGTAATTGTCCTATTATTAAAAGTCAACAGCTACAGTATTGTAGCTGTTGACTTTTCATTTTTTGTTTTCAGTTTGAAGAAGTGCTCCACTGTGGGACTGCTGTATGGCTGTAACTCTTTTCATGGGACACCATTGTTTTCATGACTGGTTTAATTCCAAGATCAGCTGCTGTCAAATTTGCCGGTACAGTTGGCTGACTGAAAACATGCTCATGTAGTTGAGCATATAGCTAGACTGCTGGAAAAGGTGAAATATAAAAGGCTGGCTTTTAATCCCTTTTTTAACATTAGCTGTGTGCCTTGGACTTTAATCAATAACCAATTAGAAATCATACAGTATGTCATAGTCCAGATTGTGTTAACAAATGGTAAAGTTTGGCTGTTGTAGATTGCTGACATCATCAAGGGGTGCTAGGATGTGTATTAATACAGTTTTTGTGTTGCCATACATTGGCATAAAACCCAAAAGAACAAAGCAAGTGAATTGTGGCATTACAGGCAGAAATAAAGCTTGTGCATGTTCTCGCATGAAAGCACTTGTTCAAGTGCATCAATGCATGTAAACAAATGCATATGAAAGGCAGCAAATCATAATAAAAATGTGTTCAACATATGCACATACATCAAGCCATTGTCTGGCAATCCTTAAAGCTGAACTCTGGGCAAATATCTAAATACACACAGAAAAAAAACATATATATAAGCTATTTTACCTGCAAAAAATTAGAGAAACAGCTCATCTCCTTCTATCAGCATGTTCCTTGTTATCACATGAACACTAAAGCACAATTGAATGGCTCCATGTGCTGCTTCTCCCTCTGTGATCAGTGGAGTAGTGCCCCATTAGATTGTCAAATTTCCCTTAAATTGGTTGATAGATAGCATGCTCCTTACATTGGTGGTCATTGTGAAGGATGCTGCTCCATTGCATTAAGGGTCATTGGGAAGATAGCCCCCCATTTTTGTCTTCAGTGTAATTGTGTTTCCATACATTGGTGGTGAGTGGGAGAAGATTCCTTACATTGCATGATATTGACAGTTAGTGGAGAAATGCCCTATTTTATTGGTGTTTAGTGTAAAAGTGCACCCTTAAATTGATGGTCAGTGGAGAAGGGCAACCCTACTTTGGAGATCAGTGAAAAAAGGGTCCTTGCTAGTAGGAGAACTTTCCTTACATTGGTAGTCATTGGGGAGGATGATGTCTTGGTGGACAGTGGGAGAAGGAGGAGGACACACTAAAGGAGCTCTCTCTGAGAACCAGAATTTTCAAGCCTGGGACTTGCCTGCTAGCTCGGTAAAGGAACTATGCCTGTTCCTGAGGGAGGCCCTGTGAGGGATCCCCCTGATGTCACAGGGCTTAGTAAGGAGGAGGAGGAGGTTGAGGACCTGACTGTAGGTCCAGGCCCTGGTGAGGATGTGAATGTACCCAGACAAAGGATTATCGATCGTTTTATGAAGATTGGAAGAGCTGAGGAAAAACCTAAAGTTTTGAAAGCTGAACACAAATCCTTCAGAGCCAAATACTGCCAGGCTGAGAGTAAGAATCGATTGGACATGAAGCCTGAATTACA